TTTACATTCCCCTTTTGTTGTTACTTCTTGTTTCATACAGCGATTGTAGCGACTTGTTCACTGAGCTTTGCAACTCTCTGCCGCAGGCATACTGTTTGTCGTCGAGTGAATAATGCGCATGCGCTATTTTTCTTGGGGAAACATTCTAACTACGCATGCTTATGCAGCAGGTTCTCGGTCAGAAAGCCTAACGGTCGTACATACAAACAAGCAGAATAATAGTATAGAATATAGATAATATGCACGACGGTAACAACAATGAACATTTGACACGTGTGTGACAGTAGCAAATATTTAATTCTTGAACGTTTCGGAATGTACATATTCTATCATCAGTAAACTATATTGAATAAGGGATGATATTAGGTACTAAAATTTCTGAAGTTCTAACATTTTTCAAGAGGAATTAAAATACAGAGTAAAAAAAGATGATGTTAATGAATAAAAATAATAAGACAGTTCAATAATTGTAACAATATTATACAAGTTATTCAAGACAGACTTGATTGTAGTGAAGTTGTGTTATTATTTAAAGTTGGTAGCTCACTTATAACAGATAAACTTTCTTTAATTAAAAGTTTGAATTTTCTAATATTCATAGCACGCTTTCGATGTGCTGGGATTCACTGAAACTGACAAAGACAACATATATAAGATCGTCGGCTCTGTCATGCACATGGGTGAGATGAAATTCAAACAAAGACCACGAGAAGAGCAGGCTGAGGCTGATGGTACTGCAGAAGGTGAACGGGTGGGACACCTGCTGGGCGTGAACCCTGCTGATCTTTACAAGAACTTTTTGAAACCTAAGATCAAGGTCGGCGCAGAGCTGGTTACTCAGGGCAGAAATAAGGATCAGGTGAGATCAGTGCGACCTTCAATAAAAGATTCTTCCGTAGTCAAAAGTTTATGTTAATGACGTACACACTGTGCACGATTTTTGGATGTGATCGAACGTCGTTACTATTGGGATTACGACCGAAAAGAGAAAGTATAATATTGAGTTTCCAGCTAATGAATCAATTCATTATAATCATTTTGAGTCAATACCCTATCCTTATGGACCATCCTAGTTTGAATGTATTGAATTACTTTATTTAATATGTAAATTGTTATCAGTAGAATGTGGTGATGGCCCAGTATAAGATCAGGTGTAAAATCAAAACAGCTAAAATGTCACAAGGTTTAAAAAACAAACTTTAACACAAAGCTCAAGGTTTTCGTTGACGTTGAACTATGTGTTAATGTTTGTTTTGAACGTAATCAAATTTTATCTATTGTAATTATACTAAGCTAATTGTTAGCTACGATCCGTATAGGTAGTTTACTTTCATCAGAAGGTATTGATAATTTATAATTTTGTGTTTGTTTTCCAGTGCACCTACTCCATCGGTGCTATGGCCAAGGCGATGTTTGACCGGTTGTTTAAGTGGCTCGTGAAGAAAGTCAACGAGACCCTTGACACCAAGCAGAAAAGACAGCATTTTATTGGCGTATTGGATATCGCCGGATTCGAAATCTTTGACGTAAGCCGGAAGAAATGTGTTTTAAGTGTTTCTCAAATACGTACTTACTGTACATGAAACTATTTAAAACACCCTGATCACTTAACCCTGATCTCTTTCTATATTTACAATTGTTGGGCATCATTTTACCAACATAATCGTATCATAATACTTTCAGAGTTAAGATGTCAGTCGTATGTAACGTTTATAATTTGTGTAGCAGAGTAAACTTTCAAAATTGAATTAATGTATTCATGAATTCTGGAGCTACAGTTAATCACCAGTATGCATATAAATCTTAGTTATTTCTCTCACTGGTTACTAGGGAAGTCGTACATTGTTTGGTTTGCGACTAGAAATAAACGACCTTATAACGCCAAAATGTTGTTTTTATTTAATTAGACTCTCAACGTGTCGCTTTACAGCTTCTTCAGGAGCGTTCACTAAAACACAAACCGAAATTGACAGTACAAAGCTGTAAAGCGACACGTCGACTGTCTAATCGAATAAAAACAACATTTTGGTGTTATAAGGTCGTTTATTTCTAGTATTAATGTGTCTTATTTTATATACACCAATATGCACTTCAGAAATTAAAAAAAAAAAAATTCCAGACTGTTTTAGCTCGTTATTCTTGCGGTTACTAGGTAACACTACGTTACTTCTGTATTGCAGTTCAACGGCTTTGAACAACTTTGTATCAACTTCACAAATGAGAAACTACAACAATTTTTCAACCATCACATGTTCGTGCTGGAGCAGGAAGAATACAAAAAGGAAGGCATTGATTGGGAATTCATTGACTTCGGTCTTGACTTACAAGCCTGTATTGAACTGATTGAGAAGGTGACTTTTGTTTTCATCTGCAGTAAAGTTAATATTTTCTTGCATTTAATCCTTGGCGTAAGCTGAACCTCGTAAACGGAATATTTTTTTTAAAGTTAATATTTTTCAAAGAAGTAAATATGGTGCATGAGAAGTAGAATAACGAAGGAGTAATATATTTTAGTGCATTTGATTAATAAACTTTATCTCTTAGCCCATGGGTGTCCTGTCCATCCTAGAGGAAGAATCTATGTTCCCCAAAGCCACCGATAAGTCTTTTGAAGAGAAGCTAAAGAACAACCACTTGGGAAAATCTCCCAACTTCATTAAGCCTAAACCACCTAAACCTGGACAATCAGAAGCCCACTTTGCTATTGTCCACTATGCCGGAACAGTGAGTCATTCAGTTGATTTATCTTATTCGAATTCAAGAAGTTAATTAGTTATTCTGTATGACATTTGGTGACTTGAACATTTTTATTAAGCCTTTGACTCTTGCGATTTCATTAAGCCGAATTTTTAAGAACTATTTTAACAAATTATAATTTTTGTAGACGATCTCAATCCCTTGTAGTTTATTAACAAAAAATAAACTATATTTATGTTTTAATACCACTGTATTAGCTTAATTAACGCGGTTATCTCTCTGAACAGTTTTTATTCAATGGATAAACAAATTAGTTATATATATATATATATTGCAACCTTAAAAGACAATGAAAGTTTTCGACTTACACAAAGAAGAGAATTTTCGTTACAGTTGCCAACATCATATCAAAATGTGGCTTATTTTTTAGTTCTTTAATTCAGTTGGGCACTTTTTATAAAAAACGAGTGTCCCCCTCTACTTTTATAGGTGCCCTACAATCTGACCAACTGGCTTGAGAAGAACAAGGACCCCTTAAACGACACTGTTGTCGACCAGTTTAAGCATGGTCAGAACCAACTTGCATGTGACATCTTTGAAGACCATCCTGGTCTCGGAAGTGGTGATCAAAGCGGAGGAGGTGGTGGCAAAGGTAGGCAACAATTATGACGTTGTGGTACTTTAACTCGGGTATATCAAAAACTGTCAAAAATTTACTACCAGCAACATTCAAGTGTATGGTTAATGAGAGAAGAAATGTTGAAAGTTTTTCAAAGTTCGAATTCATCGAATTTATTTCTCCTTGGTCCCATTTCGATCTTTATGTTTTGGCAAAAATAATAAACATGTAGCGCCATGTTTGAAATCTAGAACAGAATGTAGTTCTTTTGCTTATCAAATTTTACGCTACTTGTTACTAAGAATGTGGTATTTGACAAAACAGGTTGAAAAGTAAAAAATATTAAAATTTTCGATTGTTAAATTGTTCGGGGTCTTTGGGCTATTGATTTTGATTAACGGATAATTTTTGATAATTAATTAATTTATTGTTTCATTTGTTTTTAGGTCGTAAGAAGGGCTCTGGTTTCCAGACGGTATCTGGATTATACAGGGTAAGTACCACTGATACAAGGTGGCGTCTACCTTGATTTACTCTTAAGTAAAATGGTGAATGATATTAGTATGGATTACAGCCCTAACAACTTAGTAATTTTATAACAATATGTGTTTCTTTAAATGATGACATATCAAGGAAAAAAATCAAACCGTTGACTTCATCATTGGTACATATTATAACATAGTTCTTGGATGATATGAACATCTTTTTTATATGCTACTTGTTGCTTAGAAATATTAAATGTATATATACACTTTTAATTCTGGAATGAGGTGATGAAAATATACTCTCAAAATTCATTGATAAACTTATTCATTTGTAATTTTATGATGTTCAAATATAAAATTGGCCTACTTAGTTATTTTACTAACTCTTTATTGGTTCTTTACGTTTGGTTCTTACGAACTTTAAAGAAGAAAAAATGATTTAAGCTACTTTATGCAATGTTTTATTTACACCTACCAATTGTTAATATTTTGAATTATTCCTGATCCTTTAGTTTCCTTTTCCCTCCAGGAGCAACTGAACAAGCTGATGGCCACCCTCCGAGCCACCCAGCCCCATTTTGTTCGATGCATTATTCCGAATGAAACTAAATCACCAGGTAGAAACCTGTCCACTATAACCACCAGAACGTTGTTCCTTGTTAAGTTTAGCCAACCCGCCAGGCATGGTAAACGCAGTGTCAAGAACTTACCACAAAACGTGTAACTTCACGATTCCATTCATTGTTGATGTCGCTTATTTTCCATCACGTTAATTTGTATCCAAAGCTATAATATGTTTGTTATGTTACAATAATTGTGTTTTGGATTTCGCGTAACGCTACTCGGGGGCTGTCTACGCTAGCCGTCCCTAATTTAGTAGTGATAGACTAGAGGGAAAGCAGCTAGTCAACACCACCCACCGCCAGCTTTTGGGCTACTCTTTTACCAACGAATAGTGAGCTTTACCCTCACATTACAATGCCCTCACGGCTGAAAGGGCGAGCATGTTTGGTGGGACGGGGATTCGAACCCGCGACCCTCAGTTTGCGAGTCAAGCGCCCTAACTATCCGTGTTTTGCGCATTTTTTTTACAAATCATTCAAGTTCCTCTATAATCAAATAAAAATATTAAAATGTATATTGTATATTGTAACTGAGTTACAAAATGTTTATTTAATTTAAAGGTAAAGGTGAAAGCTAGCCTTTCTACACAGCTTGAGACAAGCCTAATTGTTTGGTGTGATAAATTCTTGACACTGGGTTCACATGAAACCTAAACCCTGCACTGTGAACCAACTACTTCACACGAGGTAAATTCTACAGTCGTGTTTCATCCTGTTTTACATCCTTCATCAGTTCTGTGGAACCCCAAAAAAATGTCATTTTCTTTTTCTCGCCAATTAGAAGTTCGCTAGTTCCTGGACTGGTAAATTTCTTGAAAATATCTTACTCTTCATAAAGAATAGATTAACCAGTGTTCTAACTGTCGTCTCTATGATTTCTGACAAATAACAATTAACCCTATTAATCGATGTGCATGTCTGCGAAATAATACAATATTGTGTTGGCAAAGCTTCTAAACCAGCGAAACAAAATATCGGCTGCAGTGTACAATAACCTCGCAGTCTGTTTTCTAAGAATAACTCGAGAATTTACGGAAATATCTGAAACTATGATGCTTACTTACAGATGTGCTAGGCCTAGTGCTGCTTACTAAATAAATGACAGCTTTGCGCAGAATATGTGTGCTTAGGCTTGCACACATTAATCTAACTATTTTCTGTTTTGTTTTGCTATATTTAAAGCTTCTTTTTTTAACTGTGTTTCTATAATACGTGTGAGTGCGTGTGTGTTGCTTTTAAATGGCGCTAACTGTTTAAATCAATGCTGGGCTTACATTCCACTACAGGAACAGTTGAACAAGCTAATGACCACATTGAAGAGCACTTCGCCTCATTTTGTACGTTGTATCATCCCCAATGAAATGAAATCTCCAGGTAAGTGCTTTGAAGCTTAATAAATAACAAAATGGACTCGACTGGGCGATCCTCAAATTACTGAACTAGTGGTGTAATTACAGAAACAGGTGAGGTGTAACCGATTTTTCATTTCGTTTATACAAGATTAGCCATGTTTTATTTTTGTAATTAGCTTCTCTAAACGGTAGTATTGGTTTGAGATAACGAAACGTAAACTTCTGGTTGATATTTACAAAATATATTGACCGGAGTTACTGTTTCAAGCTAAACTTTTCACGAGGGATAATTAGTTAGCAAGAACTTTTCTATGTACTTGGGTTTCCACAACCACTGTATTATTTTCCAATTTAAATTCAATAAATCATTTCATTTTTTTATTGTTGTTGTAAATATTCAAGCAATTAACTTGTAAGATTTTCGATCACTAAAATCTTGCTTCGTGTCGCCCTCTATAGGTGTGATCGATTCCCACTTAGTCATGCACCAGCTTACCTGCAATGGTGTACTGGAAGGTATCCGTATTTGCAGGAAAGGTTTTCCCAACAGGATGATTTATCCTGACTTTAAACACAGGTAAGGCTTAACTGTGGACAATGCATCAAACCCGAATGCGTTAAATTCATTATATATAGCTGGCTTGTATAAATCATGGGACAGTGAAATTAAAAAAAATTCCTGAAGTCTTACAGTTTCTTTTAAACAAAATTCCCTATTTCCCTGTCTTTAAAATAAATTATTTGTGATTACGTTAACTGCAGCCTCGAAAAGAATAAACAGATAACTCTTTTCTGATGTCCTACATTATTCGACGATTCTGTAAAGAAACTTTACACATTAAAACTAGTGTTTTTTTGATATCTTTAATTGTAATAGGTCATTTTACATGCATTTTGTACACAACCATTCTGTGACCTTATAGCGACTGTATTATTTTGCTTACTGACATGCTATATGTCAGTATAATAGTGCCCATTGCATACCGTAACCATATTTCATTAGTTACTGAAAAAGAAGTGATGGTTATTTTCCTTTCTGTATAGTTGAAGCCATGCTATATTTTATTTTTTTCTCTTCCGCCATTTTGTTCGTACTACAATTCTTTTCGAGTTTGTGAAAGTTACCAGTTTGTGTCTGTTAACTAAAACTTCGTTTTTTTCTTCGTGTCGTTCAAGAAACTGAACTCTTTTTTTTTTTCCTTTCTACCAATGATTATTACAGATATACAATTTTGGCCCCAAATGCAGTTCCCAAAGGAGCATTCGTTGACGCAAAGCATGCAACGGAAAAGGTTCTAGAAGACATTCAGCTCGAGGCCAACGATTACCGATTAGGTCACACCAAGGCACGTGAAAATTGAAATTGAACCCTCCCCCCTTTCTATTGAGTTCATTATTAGCATTATTGAATAAAAGATCATATAAAAAATTTTCTTCCTGTTTTTTGTACATTCAAGATTTAATTCTCTGCACTTCCTATTCCTGGGACCTTGATGATCAGTAGAACTCTTTGCACTTCCTATTTCCGGGACTTGATGATCAGTAGAACTCTTTGCACTTCCTATTCCCAGGATCTTGATGATCAGTAGAACTCTTTGCACTTCCTATTCCCAGGATCTTGATGATCAGTAGAACTCTTTGCACTTCTTATTCCCAGGATCTTGATGATCAGTAGAACTCTTTGCACTTCTTATTCCCAGGATCTTGATGATCAGTAGAATAGAACTTCTTGCAATTCTTTGTGCCAAGACCTCCCTCTATTCTACTCTTCACAGTAACTCCTAGAGCCTTTACTTTTCCATTAAGTGACCTCTCAGTTTCATATATAACTTTTCGCGAATCAGTTCTTTCTGGACACTTCCCTATACAAAGTCATAAAAAGCTCTATAAGGTAACATTTGTTGCCAAAGCTAGCTATACTAATGAGAGATAAATTTAGTTCAAAACTGAATTGTATTTATCTGATTATGTTCTTTCTGTTCACTAAAACCAGTCTAATGCCTAGTTCCTATAAAGGGAAAATAATTATATGTTAAACGTTTGGCTGAAATGTTGACTACGTGCTTTTTTTACCCATGCAGCGACTTTAACCATTTCTGTATTCCTCTAGTTTGTATAATCTTCATTAAGTATTATCGGTTATTGGTTCTTTTACCTTTCTTGTCTTTCGTGTAGTTGTTTTGTGTGTGTGTGTTTTTCCGTTATTATAACGGTAGTTACATTCAAAATTAAAGAGTTCCTTTTTTTTTCCTTAAAGTTTACATTGTTGATAAATTGTTTAGCTTCGAGATTAATATTAATATTGTTTTGTAAAAATATATATGTATTGTCGCGCCACAAAAAAAGTTCCCTGTGCTAAAACAAAAAAGATGCACACCAAAAGCTGGCTCGTCTAAGACTTACCCAAGAGGGTTTATGACCATGATATTAGCGATGGTCCACTTGTGTTCAGGAAAACTCCAAAAAATTCGAGCTATAATGACTTATTAAGAAAGTTACAAATACAAAATAAAGTCGTAATTGATGTTGAAACTGAGTCGTCAGAGCTACCTCATTCTGTTAGTAATTTCCTTAGAAGTGTCGCATGTTTTAGATATGTTAATACAATTATTAACTTTCTTGGCGTTGACTTGTTGTCCAAGTGCATGTTTCAATATTATCATACCCTGTACCCCCATATTATCCAGTGGTCTACCTAGACAGACCATCCTGACCCATAAAGCGGTTGGAGACAATCTAACTCAGTATTGTTGAATTCCGAAACGGACACATCAAGGTAAGTTTCTGGTAAAAGAACCATATGACCATCAAAGTAGTTTGAACCACACATTTCCTGGATGGTTATGTACACAAGGGGAAATATTTTGATTTAATCTGTCTAATTTTGATAATTTTACGTATGGTACATAAATGATATCAAACATTGTTAATGTTAACAAATATTAGTATTGTGAAAAGACTATTATTACAAACACATTTTTGTCTAAATAATATTACAATCACATTTTTTTGTCTTAGCAGCGTCAGAAGTCGAATATGGTTAAAACTAAAAAAAAAGTAGAAATATTGTTGGTAAATTAATTTTTAAAAAATCGGTGGCTTCTTTATTATGATTTTGTCAGATTTTTACCTTAGCCGTTAGTTTCTCAGCAAGAAATGAAATATTTTTCTCTGCGACATTTTTTTTTCTTCCAACCTCATGAGGTACAGTTCCCAGTAAATAATTTAAGTAAGTTATTATTTGAAATGAAACATCTAATTTTGCAACGGTAGGTGTTCTTCCGGGCTGGAGTTCTTGGTCGACTGGAAGAAATGAGAGATGAGCGATTGGGTAAGATTATCAGTTGGCTCCAGAGCTGGGTCAGATGGTATCAATGCAAAAAGACCTTCAAGAAGTTGCAAGAACAGAGGTAAAGAAGAACTGTAGTGGGTTTTACATTATTATTTACAGAAAATGAGGGCGTACCGAAAATTATTCGTTTGAAAATAAAAGTCATAAAGCAAAAATTATGACGTTTAACTGTAATTGATGGTATCGCGTTTCTCATCACCAGGTGGCACGTTAGCCATATCAACAATAAACATGGCGTTCACGCAATCCAAGTCGAAGTGCGTGACCTCCTATGCCAAGCTGAAAAGTGTATTGCCCGTGTTCCATTGCTACGACCCCTACCGTACTAGCAACTGCGTACATGCGTACGGTAACTTGATACCAAGTTTTGGTGCCCTAGTTTTCAACGGCTTATGACGTTTTAATTCCAAGTGAATAATTTTGGTAACCCTTTCATAATTAAAGTTATGGCAGTTAATTAAGGATAATAATAATCAACAAACACGTAGACATCAAGAGCGTATTATATGTGGGTTCATTACTCTTCTGTAACACAATTTTGTTAATGTAGTTTCTTAGTGTTTCTAAAATGCATGAAATGTTTGTACCTTGTAACTTCAAAAATTAGTATGTTTATATATATAACTATTATTATTTTGACGGAAACTAAATGTTGATTTTATTATTTGGATTTCAGAGTTGCATTACTTATCATTCAAAGAAACCTCCGTAAGTTCTTACAACTCCGAAACTGGCTATGGTGGAAATTGTACTCCAAGGTACGTTGTTTAGGCTTAACTATCACTTTCTTTAGGCTTAACTATCTTTATTGCTTTGAATGAAAACGAAAAAGTTAATTAATGTGCAAAAAAGAACCAAACTGTAGATTTCGTAAGAACTTCAAGTATTTTTCCTGCCCTATAGAAATGGCATTCCCGGCGGAACCCCGGCACCATTATCATTGGTTGTAATTTGTGGTAAACTTTCACTTTAGCAGACATATCTGTATCTTATTTTGAACTGTTTCGAGTTAGAAGAATTTGATTTTCTTAATCATTTTTCAGATGCAAAGGTGGGAAATATTTCGGACTATTTTAATGAAATAAATAGATGCTTGATTGTCTTATCATGCCCGTAAGCAAGGGGCGGGATGCGGCAAGTGTGAACGCATTCCCTAAAATGCACCCATATACACCAGTGTATAAAAGATATTTAAAAGGTGTATACATAGACTCATCTACGATAGAAAAAGGCCCGGCATGGCCAGGTGGTTAAGGCACTCGACTAGCAATCTGAGGGTCGCGGGTTCGAATGCCAAACATGCTCGCCCTTTCAGCCGTGGGGGCGTTATAATGTGACGGTCAATCCCACTATTCGTTGGTAAAAGAGTAGCCCAAGAGTTGGCGGTGGGTGGTGATGACTAGCTGCCTTCCCTCTAGTCTTACACTGCTACATTAGGGACGGCTAGCGCAGATAGCCCTCGTGTAGCTTTGCGCGAAATTCAAAAAAACAAACAAAACAAAACAAACGATAGAAAAATGCACCATTTTTAGTGAAAATCGCCAATTTTTTTTCGTTTTACTACTCATTTCATTTTTCCCTCCCCTCCCCGCGAGATAGTTGATTATATTCAAAGCAAAATTAATATAAACATTTTAATTGGGGTTGCCTACCTGTCCACTTGCCTATCCGCTAAAGCCGGGTTTGCATCCGATGAAAATTAATATTTAGAACTTTTTTTTTTTTTGAAAAAGTTTCTAAACTCTAAACCCTTAAATTGGCCCTAAAAATTATAGTTAAATTACTATATATTAAACTTTAGTGATTAAAGATGTTGTTATATACATTCAAGGTTTAACAGTATGGTTCTATACTTGTGTTTATCAAATCATGTCTCGTTTCAAATTAAACAACGATAATATCACTTTATATTAGGGATAATGTATTTTTAGCCGCGGCATAGCGGCTAATAGAACGGCTCTGAGTTTTTTTTTTTTCAAGTACAAACTTTTAGCTCATAGCTCTGTCATCTCTTGACCGATTTGAGATCTAATTACAGTTTTGGACTCAGGAGGTCAAAACCTTTCGATTGATGTATTTGACCACGCCAAATGTCTCATAGATTAATTTACTCTAATCCTGCCCAAAATAATTTCAATTTGAGGGTAGGCTGGTAGAGATCCTGATGAGTAATAAAATCGAATGGGGTATACGCGCGCCACACGCTTGGTATTGCTGGCACACAAAAATATAGCTAATAAAAAGAAAAAAAAAGAAGTCTCATAGATTCATTTACTCTAATCATGCCTAAAATAATCTCAAGTGCCGCGGCTATTGAGGATTCCCTCTTGTTTATTTTTTTAGTAGCAGTTGAATTGTGTCCTAAAAAGAGGGGGGAAGACATTAATTATGATCCTACATACATAACCACAGGTCAAGCCTCTTCTCAGTATGGCCAGGATAGAGGACGAGCTCAAAGACTTAGAAAATAAACTTAAAGCAGCTACTGAGGCCTTGGAAAAAGAAGAGAAGCTGCGAAAAGAACTGGAGGTGCAAAATGTAAAGATACTCCAGGAGAAGAATGCTCTGTTTTTGCAGCTTGATGCGGAAAGATCGTCGTCTGGAGACGTGGAAGAACGACTTACTAAGGCTCTGTCACAGAAGGGAGATTTGGAATCTCAAGTCCAGGTGGAGTTTTTTAATGTTTCAATTCAAACGTACACAAGGAGTAGGATACACACTGAACCTAATGTTTTTTTGTATGTAGTTTTGAGACGGCTATTTGTGGGATAATAAATTTATGTCTGTACAACGTTATGTCTGTTAACGGTGAAACCGAATGATTTGATTGGGTGTACTTGCAAGTTGAATGTAACTGTCCCTTAAATGTTGTACGTGATCACAACGTTTCGTCTCATTTTTAGAGACGAAACGTTGTAGAGAAATAAATCTGTTTTCTAACAAACGGACTGTTTGAAAACTTCGTATTGTTCGTAAACGAAGTAGTTAACTCTTAAAAAGCTGCTATTTCTTTAGTTAAATGGCTATTGAGTTTTCAAATGGTGAAATAAATCACATCTACCAAAACTTTTACGTTTACAAAACAATTTCATTTTATGAAAATCTAATTAGCTAAGAAAAAAAGATAAATAATAACGATTTCCTATTCGTATTTGATAGCGTAAAGGTTTTGTGAGTGTGTGGAAAATGGCAACGTGTGTGTGCGATACAAAATATAATGCTCATAAACAAGGGCTGGATTTGGGACCAAAATGTCGGGGGAAGGGGCATAAAACAGTCTTGACTAATAACTGTGAACGTATGCTATATACCACAGATAAAAAAAAAAAGTGGGAGAATCCCCCCCCCC